CTACAGCTCAGAAGTATGGGGTTCATACGACAAACCTGATTTCAAGAAATTATGGGAAAAAGATCCCATTGAGAGACTTCATACACAATTTTATAAATATTACCTAGGATTAAACAGAAGAGCTCCAAACGTTGTATCTAGTCGTAATGAAGTGGGAAGGCTTTCTCTCAGGTCAAACATTTATATGGGAATTCTGAAATTTTGGATACATCTCAAAAATCTTCTAGAATCTAGTATTGTTAAACAATGTCTTCAAATCTCAAAACAATTAGCAGAAAATAAAAAACATTAATTTCCACTATTAGGCCTATTGAAATTCTACAACTTAGTGATTCTATAGATCACAGCATTCAAACAGTGAGTTTAAACACAATCTTCAATATCCATGATTTAGAAGCAAAATTAAGATCAATTAAATTAAATAAAACAAAAAATTACTAACACATTACAAATTCATCAAGCAGACATGATATAAGATCTAATAGGAAACTCGTATTTTACTCATGCATCGTTTAAAACAGATCAAAGAAAATCAATTCAGTTAGATTTAATAAAAAATACACGGCACAGACAATCCCTAAGAATTGAAACTGCCAGACATTGACATTGTCTTGCCAAAATCCCCGAAAATTTAAGAATATGCCAAAATTGTGAATCCAAAGATATAGAAAATGAAATTCATTTTCTTCTCGAATGCACTCTTAATAAATCGAAAAGAGAAAAACTTTATAACGATATTATTCTGAAATATCCATGTTATATTAATCTTAATAAAAAGATAAAATACTCTTCCTTTTTAATAATATTCCATTTGTATGTAAAAAATTAGCGCACTTCATTTATGAAGCCTTTCAAACAAGAAAACATTGACTTTTAGTTAGTCTTGTTATAAATAGTTATCTATATGTAATTAATATATAATTGGGTCTTTTATTTTATTTATTTTTATTGTTGTAGTTTTATTGTTGTATTGTATGCAATACCATCTATGTAAGGGAGTGGTCATTATTTATGGGGGGGGGGGGTTGGGAAATGGGGAAAATAAGGATTGAAAACTTTTTTGACCCCCCCCCCTCCAGACTGAAGGCAAACTTTTTGTGCCTCCCCCCTCATAAAAGTAGAAACTTTTCTGACCCCCACCCAGTGTGGATTGAAAAATTAACAGCAATGAAACAGGTGTGCGTTGCAGGTAAATTGTTAGATATTAGGACAATCTGTTTAATCTAGCTAATGATGTTTTACCCTGGTGAATATGATTCAACCATATATGATTAAAAAATATATATTATGTGTTACCACTTTGCAATGCAACATTCGCCCTACCATAACCCTAACCCATGACCCGTCTTCATATAGCGAAATTAATTGAACACAGGGTTTTTTTAAGAACTTGTCTGGGGGGTGGGCATCTACAAAAAGGGACCATACTATATTGAGTGTGGAGAGATGACAGATGGTTGTTGGTGACAAAAAGTTTGATGTGGTATCGTATGCACTAGTAGGGGGGTCTGTGGGTATTCTCCCCCAGAACATTTTTTGTATTTTCCACCCCTAGAACTGAAATGTGAGCATTTTCTGAAACAGATTTTTGGATATACAGCGTTACATTGTGCGTTGATAGACCGAATCTGATCAGTTATTAGTGTACTTGCATGGTATGTTTATGTAAATACCACAACTGGGTCACTCAGGGGGTAGAAAGCTTGTTAAACTTAGTGGGCCCGACTACCACGATCGCGAGGCGCTACCATGGTTGGTGCCGAGCAGGGAAATTTTGAAAATTTTGAGTCTCTAGATCGTTGGAAATAGCATTTTCAGAGTCTTCTTTTTTGCTATTTGTGATTATAGAAATCAGAACTCTAGACATGGTATTAAATTTCAAAAACTTTTATGACTCCCCCTTTCTCTGTGTTAAAATTGTTGTGACCCCCCCTATTTATAGAGGTAAAACTTCGTTTGCCCCCTCCCATTTCCCAACCCCCCCCTCCCCATAAATAATGACCACTCCCTAAATGGGAATGCAATAAATGTTGTGTACGTCTGTACGAGAATGGAAAGGTTTTTGCAAAGGTTTAATAATACGGTTAATATGATCAACTTAACGTGATAAACGATGATCTCTTTATGACAAAAACTGATCAAATTTCTAGGGTAATAACTAAAATCCGTATAACTATATGCAAGAATATACACTAATGTGCAAGATTTTCGAATTTTTATATCCAGGCTGAAGGAAGTTAATAATTATTAATAATAGGATTCATAAATACAAATGGTCACATGGTCCCATGCTTGGAAGAGTTTGGGTTAAAATTAGCCTGCGTGCAGGCCCAAGGGAACTTGATAGTGGGCCTGCAACCATCACCCCATGTTTTCGATTTTCGCCGGCCGAACCGCCGGCTAAATTCCCATTGGCTAGCTGAGGCGATCGGTAATTAATTAACCTAGCCCATTGTGCAGGCACAAGGGAACTGTGATTCATCACAAAGGCATAGACACAGAGTAGATAAGACATACAGAGACGTAACTGACCGTTGTAAACACTGCGGAAGATTACGTTATCATGTACCCACTTTTTTTCAGGCGACCGGGCGAAAAATGATCAACTGCGCGTGCTCAGCAAGTTTAAAGTGAGTCGTCATCAGGTCGTCATCCAATCAGATGCATGCATCTAGTAACTTGCCGAGCATGCGCACAAAAAAAGTGGGTACACTAGTTACGTCTCTGTATGTCTCTCCTCTGTGGCATAGACAAAGGCTCTCGATAAGCTTAAAATTTGAAAATTGATCACTTTTTTCGATTACAAATGGAACAAGAACAGACTGTTTATTGTTTACTTGAAGGAAGACATGTTTTTGCCGTTATGCCAATGGGGATTGCTTGTCGTGAGGTGTTGGAATAGCAACATTACGACTGGGGTAAACTATAGTAAACTTTACTTGAGTTTCATTAATTTCAAACAGACTTCAGTTGATACGTTATGTGTTCTCACTTCCTCAAGAAAATTATCTTTTGGTTGATGTTGAGATGCAGTTGCATGTAAGAACTGTAAGCCTATTCGAAACACTTTGCGATTTACAAGGCTTCGCAGAGAGAGCGAAACAGAAGGCGGTATTAAATTGCCGTTTGAAACGAAACGATCTGGACTCGGAACGCTCTCTTCTTTTGTAGAGTTCTTTACCAAATGAAATAAATTTCGTACTTTCCGCCGCCAACAAGAATTGCACACACGATCTGATAAGTGAGACAATTTATTTATAACAATGCCAATGGCGACAGCGAAGCACACATAATATAAATCCTAATGTGGTCGCCCGACTCCCTCATGATTTGAAGTTTGAGACTGGTTTTCTGTTGAAATTCGTCCTAATTTGCCTGTTCCGATTTTAGTTGAAAATGAGCACTTGCAAATTTGGCAATTACTGACTGCGTTGCTTGCTTTTTTGGAGTTAAAACGCAGCCATTTACACATTGTTTATTAGTGTTCTGAATAAGCAGAGAAAACCCCGCAACATTTTAATGCGAGTTTGTTTGTTAATATTTGGGTGCTGTCATTGGTTCTTTTTTGACAATTGACGCGCGAATGGGGCGTGTTATGAAAAGGGGCGTATTTCAAAATACCGGGCGATGGTTGCAGGCCCACTATCAAGTTCCCTTGGGCCTGCACGCAGGCTAGGTTAAAATAAGGTGGCCAATCAAAATCAACGTGTTTTCCAAAAATTATCGAGAAAAACTAAAAAACTGTAAAAGGATGATAATGATACTACACAACGATAACGATACGATTATTATTATTCTTTTTATTATTAAAAACTTATTTACAAACAATAACCGTTCAGCTTAATGTATGTGCATGACAAAACAAACTTTGCTGGTTCCAGAAGTTCTTGTGCCGCCGTATATTTGTACGAAAGAACACGAGCCGACGAGCGAGAATATGGTGTTATAGGGCGGAAGATATGAGAACCGGCAACCAGAGTACCTCCGATCCGTTGCATAGGCGTACCGGGCGGGGGGGCGGTGGGGGCGGTAGCCCCCCCAGTTTTTTGGGCAGTCGGGCAATATTCGATGAACAGTCGGGCAATTTTGGGTTGTTATAAAAAAAAATCGGATAAATTCTGTAATTTTTTTTGAAAATTTAGTCAATTTCGTGCCAAATTTTTTTTTTTTCGAAAATTTATGTGATGCTCCGAAAAATTTTGGGATGTCCGGAAAATTTTTTTGACCCCTTAAATGGTACACTGACCAAAATTTTTTTGGCGACGGGGGGGGGGTCGCCAAAAAAAAATTTCCGGGAAAAAATTTTTGGTACTAGTCGGGCAAAATCACGAAAAGTCGGGCAATTTTACGAAAAGTCGGGCAATTTTCTTTCCGCCCCCCTATTTTTTTCCTTCCGGTACGCCCATGCTCCGTTGTATTAAACAACGACGAAACAACATTTTGTTTTTTACCATGACACAAGCTCAAAATTGAGTTGGGGGAGCCAGGGACGTCGCTATAGGGTGTGTGTGAGTGTGTGTGTGTGTGGGGGGGGGGGGTGTTGTAACACCCCCCATGCCAATAATTCAAACGTTGGTCAAAGTTGGCCAAAATGGAACTGATATTTGCCCAAAGTTAGTCAAAATGGAACTGATATTTGCTTAAAATTGAGGTAAAATTCGGAAAAATTTGGTCAGAGTTCGGGATAAAAGACGGTCGAAGTTGCTAAAAGTTATGAAATGGTTTTCAGTTTTGACAATTTTAAAACTTTTGTAATGTTTGCGGTTAAAAAATTGCAAGCCTTGCTTATCTTGGTCAGAACATTTTGGATATGCTTATGTTAGTCCGGAAAATTTTTTTGACTTGCCCCCGGGAAAAATTTGTACGACTTGGTCAAAATCCTAGGAAATGTTGGTCAAAACATGACCTACGGAAGCGATACTATAAAGTATAAACCGATCATACCTGTGTTATCATGAAGTATCATTCAAGTGACCATTGGTTAACCGCAGGTATATATTTTAGAGTTTATTTTTATAAAAGAAATATTGAAACAAACATTGATCATGAAAGAAGAATACGAAAATTAATATTGCTTTATAGAAATCTTTGGAGAAATTTTAATTACAGTAAGTAAATTTATAAGACATTTCTGACATGAAATCCATAGTGTCATTCTTGTACCTGGGCAATATAAAAATACATTGCAACACAGCTGTGTTGACAACGGAAAATAAAATATATGTGCTTGAAAGTTTATAGATACTGTTTGATTGATAACTATTGTTAGGAAATGTTGTATAACTATTGTTAAGAAATTAATACAGTAAAGACATTAATAGTGCAGAAACAGCTATAATATGCATGATCAAAATTCAAAATATGAATATTGGTTCAAATACTTCTTTTGTTGTCACATCAACAAAAGAAATATGCCGTGGTTTATATTCATCTGACACCGGATTTCAATGTGCTACCATTATTGATCTGACACAGTATTACCCATGCATACTTCATGCAACATTCACATTTTTTACACAAATAGTGATTATTTCGAATCAATGTCAGCAGCTTCAACTGGACTTTAGGGCTATTTTTCTCTAGTACAATTAACTTTTAAGCAGTGGTGCCTAAATTACTTTGAATTTGTACTCGAGTAAAAGTAGAAGTAATTAACAAGAAAACGACTTGAGTAAGAGTAAAAAGTACTGGAGGCAAAACGTACTTAAGTAAAAAGTACTAAGTATCCTTAAAAAATACTTGAAGTAAAAAGTAAAAGTATACTATTGTCTGTAGCGTGTAGGGGAGGGAGACTTTTCCAATGGATTGACATACAAAATACTCAAAACAGCACATGCACGCATTATATGTGTGCACCTAATATACAGTATTTCACGGCATGGTCTACTTTCCAGACCCCGTTGAAGACATGAGAAATCCATTAAATAAATAATGCTATATAAGTAAGCCACAAACGCGAGATCCCAGACGCATGTAGAGGTCCTATTACTTATCCCGAAATTAAAATATATCGGGAATAAATCACGTAAAATTAAACAAAAGTCAGATAGTAATGAAATATTTTGCCACAAAATGAAAATAACGAAGTAAAACGTTACTTCTTAAAACGACTTCGTTCCAAGTAAAAGTACTCCAGTAAAAGTTTAATTTGTTACATGCTGACTTCTCAAAAATAGTAGTATATTTATTCTGGCTACGTTTTATACTGTAATTTCCATCCGTCACAACCACCTGACCTCATTTTTGGCTTGAATCCTGGCTTGATAAATGCCTGTACTGTAGGTACCTTCATCAAGATTTTACAAAATTGTACAAGACAGATTCTCTGTAGTCATTATTCATGAATAGCCTGAAAACTGCCTTGTATAAACCTCCAGCTAGGCTTAAAAAATAAATCAGAAATGCCGTACGAGGTTGTACAACTCTGTACTAAGTTGGCATACGTTTGGTTTAATCGATGTTGACGTACGATTTTGTATCACTGTAGTGTAGTTTTCGTATAGAATTCCTGTATAGAAATGTGTTTGAAATGCTGGATTTGAACGACGTAACAAAGATAGCGGTCCGGTCAGACCTGGAAAAAAGTGGGATCTCGGGATCCTGGATCCTGAGGAACAATTACCTTACCAACAAGATTGAGGAACGTTTTGAATTTTTCACATGTACTTTATTATGGGAGAATTTATAGAATCATATTTAGTTATCTGCCATTTGAGTCGATTTTGAGATTGCGAAGTGTTCTTCATATCCTGTTAATAGAATTTGAAGATTGTTTTGTTTCCTCAGCAATTTTACAACCAATATAATTGAGGAACATTGAAAAAGGTAAATTCAGGATCCGAGGAACATTGAACACTTTTTCCAGGTCTGGGTCCGGTATTTGAGCAGTGAACTTGATGTTTCTAGATCAATGTTTCATGCTTGATTGTTATAAATATATGGATATTTCAGGATCAGGGTTAGAGGCGAAGGTTTGTTCATTGTCTGAAGGATTTTAAGGCAAACAGAAAGGGGTAACGGTTCAGCTCTGCTGTAGGAAGTGTATGTGATCGTACTTCTCTGAAATTCTTGGCGTACGCCAATTGCTAATGTCAGCGTACAGTCGTATGCCTATTTTTAAGCCCTGACCTTCCATCTAATTTTAATGTTATTCCTCTATCAGCCATAAATCATAAAAAAAAATTCAGAAAAATTGACAAAAGACAGTGTTTGATTGTGAAATTAGACAATAAAGGAGCGAAAGATAAAACGTCATGGTTGCCATGGCAATGCTAACACTGTTCCTATATGTTTGTATATCGACAGCACAAGACTTCTGAAGAGAAGGTCATGAAGAGAAGGTTACCTAAAACACTTAATATTTAGAGAACTGTAGGGAGCCATCTTAACCTATCAACTACCAAGGATTGATGAATAAAATCAACTGAAATTTATTCGCCATTGTATCATTTCAGCAGGTTTAAGGGGGAAGACACCTTTGTCGGGTGATTAGTGTCTAAATATTGGGATCTTGTGTTGGACAAATAACCACTGTGTTATTGAATATCATGCGAAGGGTTTTTACATTTATCAGTTAGACCTATAACGACGAGCAGTTCCCCAGTATAGGCTCTCTGTTAGGAATTCCTGAAAACAGGTTCACCTCAAGTTTGAAACCTCCTTCAAGTTGGCACACTTGCATGCATGTGTATCCCCTTTTAATTACATTTTCTGATTTAGAGCTGCTGATGTGAGCACACAAAAACTCAATTACAAAATGAACTGTAACATATATCTTCAATAACCTACTGATACTATGAATTTGATGCAAACCACATTTCTTCCACTGAAGTGTACTGTTCTGTCCAACTTTTTGCTATCTTGCACACGATAGCAGAATAACGCAAATTTCTAACTTAATTAGCACTCTAGTATTTTACTCTGTCTAGTTACGTCAAAGGTGGCTCGATATAGTTATCACAAGAACCGTGCTCAAGAATCGCGAATTCAAAACCGGGTGGCCATTTTTACGCACAGGTCGCGGAAGCTGATTAACATATTATTAGCACTGATGAAGATCCGGGCTTACGGATCGAAAGCTTTGCAGTAATAAATTTACGTGGTGTTTCCACAAACAAAACTATTAAAATGAAAAGAACTTCCAAAATGACTTGACGTGAGCAGTTGCTCGCGCCATATCACGCCATTGTGCGTGTTCTATAGTGTTTTATGTCAATTGCTCACGTCATTAGAATTTTCCATTTTAGAAAAACAATGCGCTATATCTCTTTATTTTGTTTGGTCACCTATGTTCAAATTTTGCATGCTGTATTGCACCGCTAAAAACTTTTATTATACAAAAAATAAAAAAATTCTGTAATGCCAAAAAAATTTTACCGAAGAATATGACATTTTCGCATTTTCCAAAAAAATGGTATTACAGAATTGTTTTATATTTTGCTAAATGTTAGCTTTTCGTCCAAGTAAAATAATGCACGAAAAAAAATTGGGGGTCACCATGCTTCTTTTCCAACTATACGGGGCGATAGACCATTTTGGGGTGAATTTCGTACACGTATGTCGTCATAGCAACGAACTATCTGTTACTAAAACTAATTTATTATATAAACATAAGTGTTATATAGAGTTTTTGGCCACTGAGAAAAATCGTATTTAAACACACGTAAAAAATACGATATTTTTATGTATGAAAATATCATTTGTTGTAAAACGCATTGCCACGGACGTTTTATTGGTTTTCACTGAATTTTGTTTATATAATAAACAGAAAAATACATGGGTGCTTGGAAATATCAGATTTATTTCTCGTGTTGAACATGATATCTCACTCGTTCGCTGCGCTCACTCGTGAGATATCATGTTCAACATTCGAAATAAATGTGGTATTTCCGCGCACCCATGTATTATTCTCTATATAATTTGAAAGTAGAGAAATCAAAATATATAAAAACCCCAATATCTGCTGAATGAATCCTAAAAATGCGTAGTTTGAACATGTCAAAGTGTTGAACACCTGAATTTTTGAAAACTGTATCGAGCCACCTTAACTCCCAACAATTTATCCGTAATTTAGAAGTAAGGGTATATACATCATGACTTGGTGCTGAAAGACTATGCAGATATAGAATTCAACACATCTTTGTCTAATTCCCCTGCCCCTTGTTACATACAGTATTTTGTGTGAAACAAAGCATTCATAATTTTAAAGTAAATTATGTGTCTGCCAGTTTAGCTTCAGCTTGTAACCGCCTGTAACTTTGTCATTAGTTTATTTCATCTATTAAATTATCAATTTGTCAATTTTCTTAATTATTACTTCAAAATGTTGTTTAATTTAAAACAGTTGTTGTTTACGTCCAAATATTTGGTTGCATGATGGGTGTTTCGAAAACGAAGACCAAAGATGGGTCCATTTTTTTCATAATTTCGAAGACAAAGACCCGTTTAAATATTATCTTGGTGATTCGCAATAAAGGGCATGATTGGGCATAAAAGAAAAAGCATTGTCACAAACCTCCAGATTTTTGCTCTTATTTAATAATTGGTGTTGGAATAATATGAGTGTACATAATCAACCATGCAAGACCTTTTTCAGTGCACAGATGGTATATAACTTCACATTAGTTTATTGTAAAAAAAATTAATATATAAGGAACATGTAAATCAGTAAACAATTAACATTAAAATTAACCCTAAAATTTGAAACGCCAACATGAACAGTTACAGAACTGTTATGTAACAGAACTGTTACGAAGTGATGTGACAAAAACATTTTCGTTTGAAAACCTTTTTCATCAGATCACTGTCTATATACATGTACCAAACTTTCACGTGCTGGACATGACTTTTTCCAATCAGCAGTGTCCATTGCAGTGCCACTCATTCTTGTCGAGAAAATTGTGAGACCAGCTGCGCAATATGAAATGTGTGAAGTTAGCTTTTCAGTTCAGGGATTACGATATTTAATATCGCTTGTGAAGTAAGGTCTAAGGATATCGTGCCTTTATATACGATCAAATCGGCGTGATAATATCTCGTTATTACTTCCTTTCACGCACTTATTTTGATATGGGTTTTTGTTTTCGTAATTCGAAATGAAATATGGGGTCTTTGTTTTCGTAATTAGTCGAAAAAGACCCATCTTAAGTCTTCGTTTTCGTAACACGATGATGGTGTAGTTTTTGTGTAATATAAATCAGTTTAGGCAAAATGTTACTAACGTTCCATTTCTTCATTTATGCCATACATGTGTTTATTATATTTTTGAATATTGTTGATAGCAATCTCCCTTGTACATGCACCCACGATTAGTTTGTCTATGCAAAAGGTGGCAAGTTACCACAAAACCTAGAGTGTATTCAGAGTAAAATTGAGAACTTCAGTAACATGACATAAAAGCATGAAAGAAATGAATGCATGGGAATGAAAAATATTAGAAAAGTGAAAAGTACAGAGAGCAGAGGAGTCGATTTTGTGTAGAAAAACAAGAAAAAGTCTTACCAAGCATTAAAAATGCGCGCATTAAAAACGTATTATATTTTCATAGTGGGATTGTAAAGCAAGACAGCAGAGTATATTAATATCGATTACAATCTATATTTTGGTAATTCGTTTGGTTTATTTCGTTAAATTTGGTGAATATAATACATTTTTAATGCACACATTGGACTTTTATGGGATTTTACAATGAAATATTATAATTAGAGAGGTAAGACGTTTCTAGACAAAATCGGCTCTTCTGCTCCCTGTGCATGAAGTCCATGTTCACCTGTGGACTTACTCATGCTAATACTTTTCAATATTGTGTTGCAAGTTGTATTAGCCTCGTGTAACATAACCTTAGCTACCTACAACATATATATTATCCTGGTCGTGTTAACATTATATTAACCTTTATTTATATAGAGCTCTGTAATGTACAATCATGCCACGAACAACCAAAGAAAAATTGTCTATATTTTACTGGTATCACAGCTTGATTAAATGGATTCTTCACTTTATTACGGGACGATGTGAATTGGAAAGATTATGTTACAATATTAAATGTCGTGTTACCTGCAATCTTCGAATTGGTAAGTAGTACGTACAGTATCAATGAAATGCAATATATCTTGGTATTGTGCATCCTCGATCTGATTTCCAAGATTATTAGACTACATACAGTATTACAGTAGTCGCAAATGATAATCTTTGCAGACTATAATAAGACCAGCAGCAATTTATACTTGGTTTTAATTTTTTTTCATTCGAGTGACGAGTCGAGTCATTTCAGTGATTGTTCCACTCGAGTCCAGTCAATGGACCTTAGAAGTGCTTACGTCACGTAATTTTCAAACAATGAATCATTGACCCAAAAGTATCCAACAATGCAATGTGCATTCCAGAAGTCATCTGTATTCTGTATCAAAAATTGCGTGACGTAAGCACTTCTAAGGTACTGTATATAGCTGAACTTGAGTTGTGTCAGCGAATGGATTGGTACCCTGACTTGCAATCTGTGAATCTGCGAATAGACAATCAAGCTCACGAATTTTTCCTGAACTTATATGCGATCTTGTGCAAGCATTTATAGTTGTTACTATATGGTGACATCACCGGTTTTCCCCGCAGTGAAAATAGTTACGTGTATCAACCAATCCAAAATCATCTGTACAGTAAAAATTCCACTGATATCGAAGGAACTAGACTCAGTTCCGAAATATCGCATACTCGAACCGACCTGACCGCGTAGCTCAGTTGGCAGAGCGTTGGGCTAGTATTCCAAAGGTCGTAGGTTCGATTCCCACCGTGGCCAGGCGTATTTTTCAAGCCTGCCCGGTGTGGATATACACTCAGAGTAGCATCACAAGCATCTTATTCACCTGAGTACATTACACCAACACAGCAAATATCAGTAAAACTTGTTATAGGCTCATCTCAGTTCTAAAATACTGTATGAAACTGTACATTCTTCTTTTTCTAGAAAATTCCCTCAGAAATTCAAACTCAAAGGTCTGTATATTAAAATGAAATGTGTTGTCACGTTATATTAAAACCTCGGTGCGCTTGGAAATATGTAGAATCTGAATGCACTGAAAACGTCCAATTTCGCATACCGTTAGAAGGTGCTATTCATACTGGCCGCGCCTGCGAGGGCAGATTGACGAATTTCAGGTTTCGCATATTGCAATGAATCATGTACCTGTAACAGGGCCGCCTATAGGGGGCACTTTGCCCCGGGTCCCCAGCTGAAAAGCCCCCCCCCCCCGCCCCAAGCAACGGTGGTTGTTAAAATTTAACTGAGAAAATGAATCCTATACGACCTATAGCTGCGTTAGTGTCGGATAATAGTTGAGCTGAAAGAAGCAGCACTTTTGTCAACATGGACATCACGCGAAAATTGGTATAACTAACTTTGACGGCATTTTACATCATAGCGTTCGTGTAAGGAAGAAAAAACTTATGTTTTGTCATATGTGTTGAAGATTAGGTACCATAAACTGATACAAACACAATTTTTAATCCAGTCCCCCTCGGCAATCTGACGTACGTGTTCACAAAAACGTCGCTTGCTTAGGTGAACACACCGCTTGTCCCGTTTTATAATTATGACGCCATAGGGGCCGCCTGGGAACGTTTGGGCCCAGGCCCCGCGCATCCTTTCGGCGGCCCTGCATGCACATTGCGTGAGACCAGTACTCACAGTGGTATTAATTCGAATTCTGGTGTAAATACCTGATGATGAAGGAGAAATATTATTTCCTTCATTGCAAAATAATCTTATTCCGTCCGCGACACGTATTTATCTTTCGCCTTTAGTATAGTGATCATATGGCATAGTCAACCAGTCCTTTTAAATATTATTTTGCACCAGTGTACACTGTACATAGTGAATAATTTTTGACATTCACTTATTTTTTTAATTTTAGCTTTTAAATGATATTCTAACTACAGTTAATGTCAATGTGGACAGTTCCGTGCAAGATGTGCTAAACACGAAAAAAATTAACGCCGAGAAAAGTCTTGTGTGAGTCACTATTGTTATATTCATGAAATCAATATTTGTTTTTGTGTGCAGTTACTCTTGTAGGTGAGTAAGAGGGGAGGTTGGCTAAAATGGGGTGTACTAATTATCCTTACTTGCAGCTGGCAGTTGAGCTGAGGTGCTCAGCTCAACCTGATTGAGTTGAAGCAGGGCTTGAAATAGCGGCCTAAGGCAGGCCATATTTCAGAAATAGCAGGTGAAAAAAATTTGACTTGCCAACTCAAAAATAAAATGGCAAGCGAAATTGTTCAAAAACAAAATGGCGTCCAATGGTTGAGGACACAATCGATTTTGCCATTTTCGGTTAGCGGTTTGCCGTAACGTCAATATTATGCAAAATATTGGAATAATTACATATTATTTCTATTCCTTTTAGATTTATTGACAAGTTTTCAAAGTCATTGACTCAAATTTGCGGCTATATTGATCTTATTGATATTGTTGAGAAGCAGAAGAAAATTACGTTTTCGTCTGAAAACAAAGAACACGAAGACAAATTATTGCAGGTTTGAATATTACATTTAATAAGTTTAGGTTAGCGGAGCAACTGTTACATAATGATGAGGAATGAAGATTGGGTAAGAAGTGTACTGCCCCCAATCACTTCCCCCTCCACAGTTGCCTTGAACGTCATGGAGGAACTATCGCATATGAAAAAAATTGTTAGGTGAAGACCATAAACAGTTTATTGGGAAGGCAAAACAAACCAACAATCGTAAATGAGCTAAAACTTGGCGAAAATAGTTTAACTAACCCGGAAGATATTGCAGAGGGTTTTAATGATTATTTTTCAAATATTGGCCCAAATTTAGCGAGCCAAATTGGTACTTCAAATTTGAACTTTGAAACATATGTCAAAAATACTGAATCAGAATTCACTGCATTCCAACCTGTCACGGTCAATCACGTCTACCAACTTCTGACTGGTCTTTCAAGCAACAAAGCCACAGGTGTCGACAAAATTTCTTGCAAAATTATTAAGATTGCTTCACCTGCTATTTCAGATTCACTAACACATATTTTTAATCAGGCCATTACTCTGTCCTCATTCCGTGATGAATGGAAAATGGCTAGAGTAATACCTATATTCAAAAATGGCCAACGTAATGTGGCAGGAAATTACAGACCAATTTCTGTCCTGCCAGCCATTAGCAAAATTATGGGAAAAATTCTGTATAATCAACTGTACAGTTACTTATCCAAATATAGACTTTTAAGTGACAGCCAATTTGGTTTTCGAAAATTTCATTCTACGGCTACTGCATTATTAGATTGTACAAATGACTGGTATGTGAATTTAGACAGAAAAATGTTTAACCTGGTTGTTCTAATTGACTTAAAAAAAGCATTCGATACAGTCGACCATCAAATTTTATTGAGGAAATTGGAGCTGTACGGTATAAAAGGCCAGGCACTATCTTTTCTCAATTCATATCTCTCAAATCGAAGTCAGAAATACCAAATAAATGGATTTTTGTCATCGGAGAAAGTGATTAGATGTGGTGTGCCACAAGTCTCTATTTTAGGGCCATTATTCTTTTTATTGCACATCAATGATTTGCCCCAATGTCTATCAAAAACAAAACCTCGGTTATTTGCTGATGACACAAACCTGACAGCTTCTGGCGACTCGATAACTCGTCTTGAAGCTGCAGTGAATTCTGATTTAGAAAACCTAAAAATGGCTAATTGCCAATAAACTTAGCCTCAATGTTGCAAAAACTGAATTTATGTTAATTGGCTCAAAACAAATGATTAAAAGCGTTTCAAATTTGCAGCCAAATGTGGTAATTGAAAACAAACAGATTAAACAAGTGCATGAGTGCAAAACTCTTGGTGTGACAGTCGACCAGCATTTGTCGTGGAAAAGTAACACTGAAAATATTTGCAGGAAAATAACATCAGGAAATTTCTGCTCTTAGACGTTTAAAGGATTTTGTTGACAGGCAAACGCTTCTTTCCGTTTATAATGCTATTGTTCGCCCGTACTTCGATTACTGCTGTGAAGTATGGGATGTGTTCGGTGAAACACAATCAAAACGACTTCAAAAACTTTAAAATAGAGCTGCTCGAATTATCATGAATATGAGCAATGACACAGATCATTCTGTAGCATTGCAAGCATTGGGCTGGAAGACACTTAAATTAGAAAGGAAGAAAGCCAAGGCAAAAATGATGTACAAATTATTAAATAACATGGGCCCTCAATCACTCACTAACTTATTCACTTATAAAAGTGAGATGACTAGCTATAATCTTCGAAACGTTTCAAGTATTCTTTGTTTACCGCAACCGCGGACTAATAATTTGAAAAAAAGTTTTATGTACGATGGATCATTCCTTTGGAATTCTATTCCAAAGGAAATTAAAGAGAGCAAATCCCTTTCTTCATTTCGGACGAAAATCGCTGCTCACATTAATAATTAAAGCAAAGATATGTATCTGTAAATACATTATTATCTCACATACTTAATATATTTTATACTATGTTTTCTACTTTGTAAATAGCTTTTAAATACTTTTCATATTTGCTGTATACTTCTTGTTCACACGCCCCTCGTGGAAATCAGCTGTAGTTGACGAGGTTAGCGTGGTTAAATAAATCTATCTATCTATCTAGGTTTATGAATTCCGCACAGAGATTGTAAATAGAGATTACAAAATACTGTTACATTTTGTAACTACAGTCTAGACCCTTTTAAATATGCTCGGCTGATTGCCTCATTTTTGTATCTGAGCTGGCGAATACGTTTGTGTGTGCGTGTGTTGGCTTACAGCGACTAGTATTATTCGGATTATTTTATTACTGTATGTTCGAAAACATCATTTTCATTTGCCAGAAATTAAGAATTCAATTACCTGATCAGTCACGCGCCTAGACCAATCGGTCAGTGAGCACTCCCTTAAAAGGTAATGCAATTTGCATGTACAGTACGTGCTATATTCTTCCGAATAAAAAGTTCGACCAGATAAGGGCAATATCTGCAACCGGGCCAGCCAATCAGTTGTATGAAATTACTTATTAAGTACGATACTCATTTCGTAGTTAATGACGCGATTATTATTGGTTAACCTTTGCACTAGCTACATTTTATACAACCTGCCCCATAGTGAAAACCATACTACGCAATCAGATTTGCATCACTGATTAGGCCTATATAACTTGACTTTGATATGGTTTCCACATTTCAATATTTGGCGCAGATACTGTACATGTAGGCTTAACGTACCTATTTTTCCCTGAGAAATAAAGACGACATCGATTGATTCAAGACTTCATTGAGAGATCCCTGACAACCGTGGGCAATTTCCACAACGATTGATTTATTTGAGATAGCATTGTTAGATATGTATATATATATATATCATTCAATACATACAGTCTTATAATGCTCACTCAAATAACCATTCACTGCACAATACTGTACGTTCATTCATTTTCAAACTCCATCTGGATACATGACTCGTGAAAATTATTGATACTTGATTTATTTGAGATTAGCATTGTCTGATATGTATACTAGCTGTAAATATCATTCAATACATGTCTTTAATGTTCACTCAAATAACCATTATCAATACACAATATGGTTTCATTCTCTATCTGGATACATGGCTCATGAAAATTATTGACACTCACATAGGCTTATGGAAGATACCAATTCACTCTTTCTAAAATTGAAATGTAAGATGGCCGTCGCTCAGAGAGCTCTGCATTTGATCTGCATGTTGCTGTATTTATATCTTTGTTTTAAAAACCTTACACGATGTAAAAAATGCAATTCACTCGATGTGTATAATGGAAACGTATTCTACTCCTCAAATATAGCCGCTAAACCAAATATTGCAAGTTTTGTTCGTTTACCACGGCAACCTAGATCTTGTTCTGGCTCGGCAAGTTTAACGCCAAACTCAACTCGTGTGATTGTTGCCTGTCGTCTACTAACTAAAGCCTCAATCTCGTTGCTTCTTATTCAAATGTCAAACGATGTTGAATCCCAGCCTGGTCCTGTAGTCGATCGAAAAGGAATCAAATTATGCCATTGGAATATACAACATCTCACGGACAGTAAATTTGAAGAGATTCGCAACTTATTGACATGCCCCAGCAAGGAGCTTTTTGGTCTGGACATTCTCATTTTATCGGAGACCTTCTGTACCGAAAAAATACCAGAAACATTTTACAGCATTCCCGGCTACAAAGTCTATCGAAAGGACAGAACTGGAAAGTCAGGCGGTGGATTATGTGTATATGTTAAAAACTCAGTTCAAGCTGAGCGACGAATTGATCTCGAAACAAAAGATGTGGAAATAATATGGCTCGAAACCTGTCCCTACAAATCGAAACGGCCTCTATTCATCGGGGGAATCTACAGACCACCCTCATCAAACGCTGCTAGTGATAAGAGTATCGGGAAAAACATCGAAAATGTCTCTCTTTTAGGTCGCGAGGTGGTACTTTTGGGTGACATAAACATTGATTATTTATGCACAACGAAATTTGCAAATCATACATTCACGAAAGTATTAAAGTCATTCAACCTTTCGCAGCTTATGAATGTGATTACACGCCCCATATCACGCACCTGTCTCGATCACATCTGGTGCACCCATGCTGAACGGCTAAACAATGTCAAAGTTTTAAATATTGGAATATCAGATCATTTGCCTATTATGACAACCAGGATATACAAACGTGCGTGTCACAACAAGGGTAAGCATTCCACAATAAACTATCGCGACGTAAAGCATTTAAACAAGGACAAATTCATTACCGCCCTTAAAAATGCACCGTGGGATAGTGCTTTTGTATTTGATGACGCAAATGACACTGTCTATGCATGGTATGAAATATTTAATGATGTCGTAAATGAATATCTTCCCTTAAAACAAAAGCGGGTAAAGCGAAATACACAGCCTAAATGGTTCAATAATATAATTGGGGAGGACATAAAGGCACGCGATAAACTGTATTACAAAGCAAGGAAATATCAAACTGACGAAGATTGGGCAAACTACCGCATTGCAAAGAACAAAGTGACAAAAACAATAAGAAATGCGAAGAAAAATTACTTTTAGTGATAAATTTCAAGAAAATAAACAAAACCCCAGTAAACTTTGGAACTTGATTAAAAATCTAACAAATGATGATGTTGGAAAAAATGAAAGTGTCAAATTTTTGACCGAAAATAGTACGATTTTAAAAGATAAAGTGACCATTGCTGAAACATTTAATCGCTTCTTTGTCGACCCGCAAAACAACCTCGCGTCCACCTCAGCGCCCGTAGAAATAGAACAAACACCAAATCTAGATCCTATTCCCCATGTCGATACTACATTCAGCATTCCCCCATGTCAAAATTAAGAGTGATTGAGTTACTTCTATCCATCCCCGTTCATAAATCCACAGGAGACGATGGCATTAGCGCCAAAATAATGAGAATAGCAGCACCAGCTATAGCCGAACCATTAAGCCAGCTGATGAATCGTTGCATAAACACTCAAACGTTCCCCTCAAAATGGAAGGTTGCTAAGGTCACCCCAATATATAAAGGGAAGGGAAACCGAGATGAAAAGTCTAACTACAGGCCTATATCAGTGCTTCCCATTTTATCTAAGCTACTGGAAAGGCACATATGTGAACATATGTATGGGTTTCTGCAACAACGAAACTTATTTTATCGACTTCAATCCGGGTTTCGTAAACACCATTCGACTGAAACTGCACTCATCAGACTCATTGACCAATTGCTACTTGATCTGGATAAAAACAAGGTAACTGGACTAATTTTTGTAGACTATAAGAAAGCCTTCGATCTGATAGACCATCATCTGCTCCTTAACAAGTTACATAATTATGGCATTCAGGGGGATGAGCTAAACCTCTTAAAAGACTATCTTAGAAACCGTTGGCAGTATGTAAATATTGATGGTTCCCGTTCTCCGAAAATAGAGGTAAAATGCGGTGTGCCACAAGGAAGTATTTTGGGTCCAATCTTCTTCCTTTTGTTTATCAACGATCTTCCGTCAGAGGTATTCCACTCCGAGGTCGACATATATGCGGATGATACTACCCTTAGTCACTCCGCAGAAGTGGATTTGGCACCTACAGCCATAGAAACAGCACTACAGCTTGATTTGGACGGCATTGTAAGGTGGTCAAAAACAAACAAAATGATCATAAATGCCAAAAAGACAAAATCTATGCTTGTTACCGGGAAGAGATTGGCCAAAAAGTTGCCGACAAAGATATTGTCGTTACAGTCTGAAAACGAGGATATTGAACAAGTTCATTTCCAGAAACTTTTAGGAGTCACTATCGATCAAGAACTGACTTTTGATAAACACGTGGAAGAACTTTCTAAGAAATTGGGACAACGACTGGGCGTTCTTCGGAAAATTAAACGGTTTCTTCCTTTAGACCAACGTAAACTGTACTACAACACCATGTTTAAGCAAGTCATGATGTATGGTGCTACAGTTTGGGCTAACTGCTCCGTGGAAAACTTGAAAACAATTCTTCGATTGCAAAAACGTGCTGCCCGCATTATTTTGGATGTCGGTACAAGAACAAACAGCGTATCATTGTTTAAGCAGCTAAATAGGCTTGCTTTTCACGACGAAGTGAGGTTGAACAAATGTGTCTTAGCTTACAAACGGTTTCATGGAAATTGGCCATCATATATTAATGATATTCTAACCTCAAATGCAGACATACAAACCCGTTCGTCAGGCCGTTACAGTCAAAGAAACTTGGTATGTCCACGCTATAGCCGAGTCATGGAAGGGGGAAAGTCTTTCCAGGTCTCCACGTGTAAACTTTGGAACTCTATACCTCCTCATATAAAAACTTCCGAAAAATCTGTAGAAACTTTTAAGAATGAACTTTTTAACTATTTTTTTCATAGGTATAATGATATTGATTCTTTCACAATATCTTGACTTTTTAACTTATGAACTTATAGTATTATCATGATTACATGTTATATAGTATTTTTAATTGTATGTAATGTAGTTATAGTATAAGAGGGCCACTTGTTAGTCAGTTGATATACTGTTCAGTGTTTACCCTCGTTAAATAAAGTTGATTGATTGATTGATTGATTGACTAAAGTCTGCATGTAACTAAAGTCTGCATGTATACTAAAGCCTGCATGTAACTAAAGTCTGCATGTAACTAAAGTCTGCATGTAACTAAAGTCTGCATGTAACTAAAGCCTGCATGTATACTAAAGCCTGCATGTATACTAAAGCCTGCATGTATACTAAAGCCTGCATGTATACTAAAGCCTGCATGTATACTAAAGCCTGCATGTAACTAAAGTCTGCATGTAACTAAAGCCTGCATGTAACTAAAGCCTGCATGTATACTAAAGCCTGCATGTATACTAAAGCCTGCATGTATACTAAAGCCTGCATGTAACTAAAGCCTGCATGTAACTAAAGTCTGCATGTAACTAAAGCCTGCATGTAACTAAAGTCTGCATGTAACTAAAGCCTGCATGTATACTAAAGCCTGCATGTATACTAAAGCCTGCATGTACACTAAAGCCTGCATGTATACTAAAGCCTGCATGTATACTAAAGCCTGCATGTATACTAAAGCCTGCATGTATACTAAAGCCTGCATGTAACTAAAGTCTGCATGTAACTAAAGTCTGCATGTAACTAAAGCCTGCATGTATACTAAAGCCTGCATGTATACTAAAGCCTGCATGTATACTAAAGCCTGCATGTATACTAAAGCCTGCATGTATACTAAAGCCTGCATGTATACTAAAGCCTGCATGTAACTAAAGTCTGCATGTAACTAAAGCCTGCATGTAACTAAAGTCTGCATGTAACTAAAGCCTGCATGTATACTAAAGCCTGCATGTATACTAAAGCCTGCATGTATACTAAAGCCTGCATGTAACTAAAGTCTGCATGTAACTAAAGCCTGCATGTAACTAAAGTTTGCATGTAACTAAAGCCTGCATGTATACTAAAGCCTGCATGTATACTAAAGCCTGCATGTATACTAAAGCCTGCATGTATACTAAAGCCTGCATGTATACTAAAGCCTGCATGTAACTAAAGCCTGCATGTATACTAAAGTCTGCATGTAACTAAAGCCTGCATGTATACTAAAGCCTGCATGTATACTAAAGCCTGCATGTATACTAAAGTCTGCATGTATACTAAAGCCTGCATGTATACTAAAGCCTGCATGTAACTAAAGCCTGCATGTATACTAAAGCCTGCATGTATACTAAAGCCTGCATGTATACTAAAGCCTGCATGTATACTAAAGCCTGCATGTATACTAAATCCTGCATGTATACTAAAGCCTTCATGTAACTAAAGCCTGCATGTATACTAAAGCCTGCATGTATGCTAAAGCCTGCATGTAACTAAAGCCTGCATGTATACTAAATCCTGCATGTATACTAAAGCCTGCATGTAACTAAAGCCTGCATGTAACTAAAGCCTGCATGTAACTAAAGCCTGCATGTATACTAAAGCCTGTATGTTCTAAATCTGTATACTAATATTTAATATTTTTTTGAAGTAGTTTGGCTCCGGGGTGTTTATTTATACTATACACAATCAGTTTGTACTTTGGTACTCTTTTGATATAAATTAAGGTGTACTTGGCAGTCGTATAGCATATATTAATAAAATCTTATAAATTTTAATTTATTTTTTTTTTATATGTACTCATCAAATATGGTTGTTTTATGCTTTGTTTATAAAATATATAAACTTTGAGATAGAGGTATAGCGATATGAGGTTGTTATAACCAGGCGTATAGCCTAAGTCACTTTGAATTATTTGAAAATGCAGTCTGGCTTTTGCATATGTTCTGCTAATAAGTACTGCCTAACTCTCAAATAAAATCCCATTAGTGACATCGCGAAGCCGACAAAATACATCAGTTTAACGAGCTTGCATTTTGCCAGATCTTCAATGAAAAAGTTTTTACTTTCAAAGCATTGTTCCATGATACCTGGGATTGTAGTGTGGCTCAAACCCCACTCCGAAAATGAGACGTGGTAATGCTTTATATCTCTATAGGCCATTCGCAAACATTATAGAGGACAGTCTGTCCCATAACAGAGGACACCCCCCGCCTCCCACCAAAAAAAACTTTGGATGTGTGCTAGCTATGACCACAGTGCAGTTTTCATCATTAGCTGAATTCATATGAGATGACGGATTTCCGTGGGTCGGAGACAGGAAACTCGTCTAAAACGAGAAACTCAGATATAAATTCGGTTAACGACGGGGTTTCCGTCTTGATTTTTCGTCTACCTTTCCCGTCTGACCGATCGGAATGTTAGACGAGTTTGTTGTCTTAGACAGAAAACTCGTCTTAAATTTATTTATATCAGGCGAATAAATGAACACGGGTTTCATATCGTAACGTTGAAAAGAGACTGGAATTGAGGGTTTCCTGTTTTTTCGCGTTTATCTGAGGGAAATCCGTCACACAAGTTTCCCGTCTTAGACGGAAATCCGTCTTCTAATACGAATTCAGCAATTGACCTACTACTGATCAGCTTCAATATAGTCATCCCAATATAACCATTTTGTCCCCGAGCCGACGGCGCGAAGCGCCGTGCGAGGGTACTAATTCCTCCCGGCTATTTACACCAAGGGAAGGGAAGCATTAGCGAAGTCTAAAGCTCATCAAATATCGCGGGGGCGGGTCACTGTGCGTGTTTCGGTGGGTGGTCATCCTCACTGATCCCATAATATAGCGGACTGTAATGAATAGCCAACACTGATTGGTCCAATTTAAAATTGGCATTATAACGGCTGCATGACGATGTACGACGACAGCGAAATTGATTTGATGATTTCTTGCAAATATATTTCATTTTTGCAAGATTTTGTAAATTGCAAAGGATTTTTGATGAAATAGAGGAAGGAAGTAAAGGTGCCGACGTTAACGAAGGAAAGTTTGTTTTAAATATTGATGCATTGTTTGCTTTTAATATACTGTAATCTCCGCTGTAATTACTTTAAAAGCCGATCGTTGCGTATATATAAAATATGAAACAAGACAGCGTATTATTTCAGTGTTTCTTTATTGATTACACTTTTTATTATACTAAGCAAAGTTATTTACATGGCAGAATATTTACATTTTATTTCGAACTCAAAGTTTATCGATAAAGGCAGTTTAGTTCTATATTAAAAGAACACTTTCAAACGTTTTGCGAAGCGTTTGTGGTTGAATTTTACCTTAAATTGAAGCTTATATTACGTATAATAACATAGTACCTACTGTAATTACTTTAAAAGCCGATCGTTGTGTACAAATATGAAACAAGACAGCGTATTATTTCAGTGTTTCTTTATTGATTACACTTTTTATTATACTAAGCAAAGTTATTTGCATGGGAGAATTTGGAATCATTTTATTTCGAACTCGAAGTTTATCGATAAAGGCAGTTTAGTTCTATAGTAAAAGAACATTTTAAAACGTTTTGCGAAGCGTTTGTGGTTGAATTTTACCTTAAATTCACGCTTATATTACGTATAATAACATACCTAACATATATATGTTTAGCAAATTGATAATTTTGTAATTAAAAGTGATATTTATAGGGGATTTTTCATTTGTAAGAACATTCTTAAAAAATTATCGTGTTACCATGACAACTACTTAAAATACTTCACGTTAAAATGGTTTTGTCAGCAAGGCGAGGGTTTCCGCATGCATGTATTTTCTAGTATAGCTATAATGAAATATGAGCTAAATATGTTATAATGAATACTATAACGACTGCTGTCCATTTAGACAATTTGATTAATAATTATAATGGACAGTGCATGGAAGTCGGTTATTTGATTAAACTCTAGATTAGCATTTTAATTAAAATTGTAGAGAATAGGAACCTTTCTCGTGCACAAATTGTTCAATTTATAAATGAATACCAAAGCACCTCACAATTTTGTCCAGAACACTGTTGCGTCTAGCTTGTTTGCAATATGTTCTGAAATGTCTGACATATGCAATAATATTTCCATAAATTTGAAAGCTATAGTGAAATAAAGGAAAGAAACTCTAACATACCGCTTCAATATCTCGTAGTAATGTCCAATCTCCAGTCTGTGCTGTGATTCTCTCTTCAGTAACGTTAGTCAGTTGGCAGTTTTCAACATTGACTGTTGTAACTCTGTAGTTAAATCCAACACAGATGGGTTCTTTATAACAAAGAGTGAGGCACTTTATCTGGACTGCTGGGTTTTCAATACTATGTCTCGAAATGATCTCATCCGAAGGTAAAGGTGGACCTCCTGTGCAAAAGTAAAAAGTTCAAAATTTACATCGACTGTATAGTTAGTGGAATATTAAAGAAATTGAGGATTATCAACAATGTATAGGATTTGAAACTTGAGACAGACCTTCATGTTTTATAAAGAACATGTACATCTTAAGATTGTATTGAATACACACGGAAAACTTACCTTTTCTGATGGTTTCATAATACGTGGGAGAACAGTTCTGCGCAATAACACTTGCGACTGAAAGCATTAGTGTGGTTAACGTTAACATTTTAAACATCGATGTCGCAATTACGTGATTTCTATCCGCCAGTCACTGCTTTCTATAGGCCAGTCACCGAGTAATTGAGGTTATCAGAAAGATGCGAATAAAAATGTACGTTCAGAATAAAATATTGATGAGAATAAAACCCAGATGTACGTAATATAATGAATTGCTTTTGGCGGCATATAAATTAATTAAAAAATTAAGTTTCTTGCATAATTGCTTAATATTTACAACAACTGGCATACTTATTATTGCAAATAAAAGTGTTCCATGCAATTACAATTGTTCCTTCATGAAATGTGCTTGTATATTTATGTGTGGACAATTATACTGGCTTATCATTTTTACTTTAAGGTGGCTCCTTACAGTTTTGATTGTACAGCACACAATTGTATTCAAAAAACCATTATTTCATCATCTTGCAAAGTATGATCACGAAACTCGGCCACTTAACTGCTCAGTACAATATCGCGAATTACGAAAAATAAAAAATGTCGTTAGAGACACGAAAAAACTGCATTTATTTTTATCTATGTGACGTCACAAAAATCAGGATTTCAATTTCCTCGCGCGACCAGCCGACAATCCCACGAAGGCCCGCGCGTGTATAAAACAACGCAATTTTAAAAACCCGTCACGTGTACAACGTCGACCACGCGTTTTGCGTGTAGCACTACTAATCTCGCGCGTGGACAAAATTTCCGCAACACAGATCTAAAACTGTAGGGGGCCTTAAACTCGAATGCCGCTACTTGGGAGTTGTCCATAATATTATGAAGGACTACTTCCGGTCTTGCTAAAATAAACTACATCGTAAAATAAATGGAAAATGAATTATTATTATTTCATCTTATTTAAAAACGGTAACCCTTCAGTTTAATTAAACATTTTTTCAAGGGGCCGTTATTACATACTAAATATACATAAAAAGAAAGCCCAGTGAACACTATATATAACTTAGATTAAATCACATATATAACTAGAAATAATGTGTTATGTTAACCCTCCCAGACCCAAAAATTACTCCTTCGAATCAAAATCCATCCCACAAGTGGTTGTCACACACTAATCCTCTCCTAATTGGTGAAATAGTTGTTGATTAAGGGCGCTTTCCATTAACACGGCCAGACCGGTCAGAACGGTCAAAATGTTGAATGGAACACAAAACATTTGGGCTTCGGACCTATCTAACCGGAAAATCTAGATAACATTAGAGTGAGGTCCATTTTCGCTAGCTATTTGAGAAACATAGACCAGATCTTTCCATTGATACAGAGAAAAGAATTTGGGTCTGACCGGTCAGGCCATTAAATGGAAAGCGCCCTAAGGTTTTGAATTTTCTTATGGAGAGCTCTTTATAGTTGTTGGTAACATCATTTGGAAGATTGTTCCATATATGATGCAGCACCTCGATAATTTCTTCATGAAGTCTGTTTTAGGTTTTTCCAAATAAAGTTTACAGTTATTACTTCGTAACGGATACATATCATTTAGCCAAATTTTAAAGATATTGTTCATGAATTCTGGCAGTTGGCCTTGTAAGGCCTTAAATGTCAATATGATTTCTCTTTTCTTAAGAGTGGTTTCACTTGGTTCCCAGTGAAAGGTATTAAATATATCTTTCGATTTTACTTCGTAAGTTGACACTGTGATTATTCGAAACGGTCGTTTTTGCAATTTTAAAAGCTTGTCTCTATCTGTACGACTGCCGTCATTCCACACGTTGGAGCAATAGGTAAAGTGGGGTAAGACTAGTGAGTTGTACATGTTAATTAAAACGTTTTGTTTAACAAATCGTTTGGTTCGTCTTAGTAAAGCAATGCTCTTGGATAGTTTTTTGCGTTGAAGACCATTGTGTTTATGCGATCTCTGTTCATCGCCTAAAGTAATTCCCAGTACTTTCTTATTGGTCACTTTTTTGATATTGTGATTACAAATCAGTATACATGGGTCATATGAGAATTGTTTCAATTTTCGTTTAGAGGCTATTAGCATAAATTTTTTTGAGTTTATTAGCATAAATTCAGTTTTTTTGTTTGCTATTAATCAGTTATTGACGTTATGCAAATCGTTATTTAGTTTCACGTCTACGTCCACCGGTGAATTACCAATGCTTAATATATTTGTATAATCTGCAAAAATAGATGCCTATGTTTGTTCGAGGCAGTTAGGAAGATCGTTTATATACAATGAGAATAATAACGGTCCTAAGTTTGATCCCGGTGGAACTCCGCACCTTATTTTTTTCAGTTGGGAATTTGTACTTTGGACTGTAAATAATTGACTCCTGTTGGTTAAGTACGATTTGAAGAAGTTAAGGCTACACCTTGAATTCCATATAGTTCATGTAAAGCGAGATTGGCGTTTAGTGATTATTTTGTTGCTTTTCCGAAAATTGAGAGGTTGGTCATAAACTAGTTTCTCCAATACTTTTGAAATTGTCGGTATGATGGATATAGGTCTGTAATTCCCGCATTCATTTTTGTCACCTTCCTTATATATAGGCGTAACCTTGGCCTGTTTTAAATCGTCTGGAAGTATACCAATGTCTAGGATCAAGTTAAAAATATAAAGTAAGGTTTCACATATTGTATAGCCTGCAGCTTTTAACAGTTTGTTTGTGATTTTGTCGAGTCCTGCAGCTAATTCCCTAGTTTTATACCATCTAGTATTCTGCATAATTCGACTGCTGAAATTTGTTTAAATGTAAACATATTTATTTATTTAGCTTTTGCCAACTAGGGCAGGGTCACCACAACAGCATATGCCAATTACTGTGGGCCCTTTTTTTTACCTAACCCACCCTGTCAACTTTCCCTGTGGGAGGAAACCGGAGTACCCGGGGAAAACCCACGGCTTTCGGCAGAGCGTTGACTTTTACTCTTTTCACATGGGGACTGGGTTCGAGTCGCACTGAGAAGGTGCTTAGTGAGACTCGAACCTGCAAACCTCGGAGGTGAAATGCAAGTGCGCTAACCACTTGGCCACCGAAGCCCCTTAATATTAGAATTAGCAGTGATATAATTATTGAAGTGTGTCTACATTACTTGGTGGTATAGTTTGTGCAAGCGTAGGGCCAATTTCACAAAAATAATTGTTAAACTCGTTTGCTATATTATCGTTACCAGTAATTGTTTGTCCATTAACTGTGATCTGGTTGATTGTTGTTGTAGTCGTTCTCCTGTTGAGTAAATGATTAATAAATCTCCAGCAATCTTTACTATTTTTGCATTGTTCCAGATTTGCTTTATAATAGTGTGCTTTTGCATCCCTAATAAGTTACCATGGTAACTTGGTTTTTGCATATTGTTTAAGCCTCCGTATAAGCAGTAGAACTTAGTCTCTCATGATAGCTAAGTATTTTAATTTCATTCTTCAATCATGGGCAATGCTCGTTTCTAACTTTTCTAGTTCGATAGGGAGCATGGTTGTCAGAAATAGACAAAAATATGTGCTTCCACTCCTGCCAGGAAAGATTTGGATCAGAGTTGTATTTAAAGTAGTTAAACGATTGTGCTAAGTCTTGTTGGAATTCGTTTTCGTTAAAATTTTTTAACTGCCTTGTTTCTACTATTTTCCGCGTTTCTCTGCGTACTCTTATTTTCCTACAAATATGCACCAGATCATGGTCACTTATTTCCAAACCAATCACTTCTGAATCAGATGTTTTGGTGTCGTCACTTTTTGTAATTATAATGTCTATTATTGTTTTTGTCGTGTCAGTTGTTCGCGTTGGCTTATCAATGTGTTGCTGTAGTTGGTAGATATCTAATAGGTCATCCAATAGGTCATCAAATGTTATTCCTATAGTTACTGTCCAGCAAATCACCTGTTATGATTATTTCTTTGTTTTTATCGTCAATCACTTTTATGGAATATTAAAAATCATTAAAGAATTCCATATTAGAACCTGGTGGACGATAGCAGGTACAATTAGATCTAGCTTAGCTTTCGGTTTTTTAACTTCAAGACAAATTGTCTCTGCATTAATTAACTGAAATTAAGTCAGCTCTATTAGTATAGGGAATAACATTCCTTATGTAGATAGCTGTAGTGTATCGCGCCAGGATACAGAATATTCGAAGGAACAACATATAAAACCAACAGTCTGCTGTGGTTGAAGAATTAATAATCAATTACGAAGTACAATAAACATCCTTACGATCTAGTGCATTACTAATTAACCTATTATGCAAGTTAGTTGTATATTAATTAGGGGGTGGATCTCTCCCCACATTAAGATAGAGTTTTTCTTGTAATGTTTTAGATATTTATCTGTCTATGAACTATAACTTTTTTTTATACGAGTCTGATTGTTCTAAACCAAACTTCAAATTTCAAAATATGAACGTTATTGCAAAGTTCAGATTAAATAACGTGACCGCTTATTTATAAGTCGATCTGTTAAATAACGTGTCCGTTTATTTAGAAAGTTAATCTGTTGGGGGCTGTATTTCCCGCTTTGATCTTCTCAGTGGTGGGAGTACAGCAATTTATTCCTAGTGATGTTGGGCACTTGGGATTGGGTCGTCTGCTTCGTCTTCCGTTTCATTTTCTGTACCTGGAGTCGTTTCAATCTTTTTGAAAAACGAAACATTGCGTGTAACTTTGTGGGGACCATGTTCAGCGGAGACCATACTTCCTTTTCTTACGACCTTGTAAAGATGTGGATTAAAAGGGGTGGACAACTTGTTTGTTTTCGGTTATCGGATTAGAACTACGTCACCTACATTTATTCCACTAGTTTCAGACCGCCGTCGTTGGTCGGCGTATTCCTTCATCATTCTCTTCTTTTCACTATCTTTCTCATAGATGGAATTGTAGATGTCAGATTGGTTGACTTCAGTGAGCTGGGGAAGAAGCGTTTGTATTTTGCGACCGTTCAGAGCTTCAGAGGGTGACATATCAGTAGTGCTGTGTGGATTTTTACGGTACTGGCGTAGAAATGCGTTCATTTCTTGTTTCCAATTCTTCTTTTCTAGATTGGCTGTACGGATTGCTTTTTCGAGTGTTCGCATAAAGCGTTCGAACTCGCCGTTCGCTTGGGGCCAATAAGGCGTAACTTTTCGATGCTCAAATCCAAGGAAACTTGCAAAGTTTGCAAATTCGTTGCTATTGAAGGGGGGGGGGGGGCATTGTCCGATTTGACGACTTTGGGTATTCCTTGTCTAGAGAAAATACAATCGAGTTTGAGAATAACGGCGTTGGCAGTTGTGGAATAGAGGATTTCGACTTCTGGAAATCTGCTGAATTCGTCAATAACCACAAGTAAAACTTCACCCGAGGGGAATAGACCAACAAAGTCAATGGCGATTTCACACCACGGCGCTTTGGGTATTGGGGTCATATTCAATGGCTCTGGTTTTAGCATGGTACCTTGTGTCGCTGCTTGACATGGGATGCAGTTTTTGATTCTCTCTCGAACCATCCTGTCAATAGACGGAAACCAAACCTTTCCAATTCACGTAATAACCGCTTTGTCTTTACTATTCCCTGATGGCCTGAGTGCCAATTCCATAGCTTGATGTTGAAGTGATTTTGGAAGGACCAGACGTGTTCCTCGGATGATTAAACCATCGCAAACGGGAAGTTCATCCTTATCATTTTGTACATCTGGATTTCGGGGTCAGACCAGTGATTGGTTACGACTGCTTGTGATAGTTTTTGGAGTGTGGAATCGTTCTTTGTTTCTTTCTGGACTTCTCATAAGGTCATAGCTTTTGGAATTATGTTCTTGCAAAGGTAGTTGACGTAATTTTCAGCGATGTTATTTTCTTTCTTTATCTGGATAACGGCTGATGAAGTCGGCAGGATTGGCATAATCTTTTCCTGGCCTGTAAAAAATCTCGTAATTATACGGCATTAATCTCAGTTTCCATCGGTCGATTCTGGGGGAGGTTGGTTTGTGACTCTTGAAGATCCCAAGAAGAGGTTTATGATCTGTGATCACCACGAACTTTGAACCGTATAGACAGAGATGATAATGCTCAGTTGCCCAGACGACTGCGAGCATCTCTCGTTCTGTTTGGGAGTAGCGACTTTCGACATCAGTCAGCGCACGGCTTCCGAAGCTGATAACTTTACCATCTTGCATTAGAATAGCTCCTACACCCGTCGGCTTGCGTTAACTAGTACTTTGGTGGACTTTGTTGGGTCAAAATAGGCCATGACTCGGTCACTAGTTAGCTCATTCTGTAGCTTTCGAAAAGGGGTTTCTTCTTCTATCTTCCATTTCTGCCCGGAATTCTGATGGGTTAAAGCACGTAGAGTGTCAGTAATGGTGGCATAATTCGGGATGAAACGTGAACCGTACTGTGCCATACCTAGGAGGGATTTCACTTCGCTTGGATTTTCTGGAAGTTGCATGGTCTTAATAGCATTGATCTTCTGAGGGGCTGCTTTGATTCTTTCGGCTCTGAACGAGTGTCCATAGAAGATAACTTCTGACTTGCGGAATGCACATTTGTCTCGGTTAAGGCGTGCATTGTGTTCTCGCAGACGGGTTAAAACGCGGTTCAGGTTTTCATCGTGTTCTCTGACGTCACAACCGTAAACAATTATGTCATCGGAAATGTTCTTGCATCCAGGTAGGCCAGTTGAAAGCTCAGCAATTGAATTTTGGAATATTTCTGATGCGGCATTTATTCCGAACATGAGTCGTTTATATCGTCGAAGACCGACATGGGTGGAGAATGTTGTAATGTGCCTGCTTTCGGGTTCGAGCTCGAGTTGATGGTATCCGAATGTCAGGTCTAGGGTGCCGAAAACAGTTGCGCCATTTAGATCAGTGATGAATTCATCAAGTGTTGGCATAAGGTGCTTTTCCCTTTTCACAGCTTTGTTTGCCTCTCGCATGTCAACACAGAGGCGAATTTCCCCTGTTTTCTTTGGGACTACGACAATGGGACTGACCCAGGGGGTGGGCCCCTCGACTCTTTCGATAACATCGAGATCTTGTAAGCGTTGAAGTTCTTTTTCAACATCTTTTCTAATATGAAATGGAATGCGGCGGTGGGACTGTTGCTTAGGTTGGATCTCAGGATCGATATGCAGGTTGACTTTCTTGTCTTTGATCTTGCCAATGCCACCGAACAAGTCTGGACAATTTTGTTCAGGGTGCGCATTTAATGCGGTGTTCAATGCAGTGTTCACAGTTATTTTTAGGATCCCTAAGCTTTGGGCAGTGCTACAACTCAAAAGGTAGCCATTTCGTCCTTTGGTGACGTAGAAGGTTGCAGTGACTGTGGTTGACCGAAAACGAACATCTGCAGTAGTCATACCTAGGAGTGGCAGTTCCATATTTGAGCCGTATGTGTATATCTTGGACTGTGGTGTGGTAAGCACAGCGCTTTGATTATATTTTCTGATCTTTTCGTATGTGGATTCATAAATAATGTTGACGGATTTGAACGTGTTCGTTAGCAATATGTACCTCACAGGGTGGTAACGTACTGTGTTGATGGTTGTTTTGGACGGTGAATATGTAGTGGGGTTCCTCCTCTGTAGAGGTTCGAACGACTTGACGGATTTCTTGTCGTTTGGGTTTGGATCTGCAAACCTTAGCAAAGTGGCCACTTTTACCACATGCTTTGCATTCTTTACCTTTTGCGGGACAGTCACCGGTGTGGGGAAAAATTCCGCCACAGTTGGGACATTGTTGTGTTGAGGATCGGGTTGTTTTGTGATTTCCTATGTTACTTGAGTGCTTGAATCGCGATTGTTCATATTTACCGTGAGTTTTGCTGATTTTTGTGTCCCTTTGCTCGTTTTTGACAGCGTTTATGGATGACACGCCTTTTTTCTACGGCTGTGACTTGTGCTTCGCTTCGCTTTTTTGCTCTGGCATAGGTTAGTAGGTCTTTAAAATTTGGGTTGTCACGAAGAGCTGGTCGTCGTAATCATGTGACAAACATCCGACGATTATTTGTGTTTTTACTTCTTTATCGATGTTGGCGAACTCACAGGTTTGGGCGAATTGTCTAAGCCTTGTATGGAATGCATCGATATTTTCTCCGTGTTGTTGTTTTGCTGGGCGAAAGTTGTATTCTTCGAATGCTGAGTTAATTTGAGGGATAAAGAATGCATTGAGCAAGTGCTACCGCTATTTTATAGTCTTTGCCTACGCCTGCATCAGGTAGAGTGTCAAATATTTCATCGACGGCCGAGCCAGCATAGTGTAGTAATAGGGCGCGTTGTTGTTTTGTTTCTTTTTCGTGACACAGTATTATTCGTCGCTATAAGGGAGTAGTTCAAATCTGGTTAGCCATTTCTTCCATCGTGAGCCAACATTGCCATCGACATGAACATCAAACGGAGGAAAATTAGGCAATGAGAAATTATTTGAAGTCGCCATGACTTGTTCGATCAAGCGCTTTGTTCAACAAATGTAGGTGTGTACTAACTGATTTCTTTGTTCGCGTTTTGGAACTTTTTTTCCCGATATCGTTTGAAAATACTGTTAGATGATCGATTTCTTCGGTTTGTTATTTTAGTGATCCTCGTCGCCAGAATGTAGTGTATCGCGCCAGGATACAGAATATTCGAGGGAACAACATATAAAACCAACAGTCTGCTTCGGTGGTTTAAGAATTAAAGTACATGTAAACATCATTACGACCTAGTGCATTACTAATTCACCTATTACGGTAGTTAGTTGTATAATTATTAATTAAGGGGTGGATACTACAATAGCCACTCCTCCTCCATTGCGGTTTCTATCCTTTCTTATCAAATCATAACCTGGTATTTTAACCTCAAAGCTAGTTGTCTATGGAGTCGCCAAGTCGAGTTTCGTTGATACAAATTACATCAAAAGTGAATTTGGACAGAAAAACCAATAGTTCATTTTTGTTCTTTACCCGATTTGCAATTTTTAAATGCCCTATTATATAAGTTTTTGGTAAACTTTCCATATTGGTCCGTGGTCGGAGTAATTGGGTCTTGAGGGTTCACATTTTCATTATCGTTAGTCTTAGTAGTATCCCCGTCATCATGATCATCATCATCATTGTCGAGTCTACTTTGATCAAGTGATGACGAGGATGCTAAAGAAGTATCTAGTCAATTGTTATTCTTTAAGTAATTCTTTATGTTTTTTCGCCAAGGAGGCTGAGCCCTTTGTGTTTAAATGTATACCATAGCTATTTAACTGCTACTTAGGGACCGCTCATTATTTATTGTACAAGGGGGGATTGAGGAGAAACTGGAGGGGGCTTTAATTTTTTTAAAACCTGACAGGAGGGGGTGAGGTTGAAAAAATACAGAGAGACGAAAGAAGGCTGGCTTCGAAAATATTTACCAGTTTGAAAAAACATTAGTAGTTTTAAAAATGTATCACAAAACAACTTAATAAATAACAATGTTTGTAGACCTTCAATATTCATAAATGGAAGCCAAATAAAAAGTCTCTTATGTTCATGTAAATAGACAATCCCCATTACAGACTCATTTTAGAACTAGGCAAAGAGATGCAAATCAAGGCCGGATTTTGGTGAAAATAGTGGGGGAAGTGGGAAAAAATTTTAGGGGTGGTGCAGCGGTCTAACTCACAACTCCCATGGAAAGTTAGGGCAATACCAACGAGGTGAGGTATGCATGTAGTGTACACATGTACCAGTGTATTAATGAATTATGAATGTATTTGACTCCAATCTTGCCCTTCATTACAATTGCTACAAAGTTTCTTTCAAAACATTGCATTAAAAGAGTGCTTGACACAGAGATGAATGGCTATCACTGTTTCAATTTTACAGAGAAAACTTTCTTACGACACGAAGTGTAGATCCTAAGCAACCATCACATTTTCACTTTGTTCCATCACTGAAACTTTCCCAAGGGGAGGTGCATGACCTTTCAGGAGAGGTGGAAAAATTCTCAGGAGAGGTGCAAAACCATCTCAGGGGAGGTGCCCACCTCTCCACACCTCCCATCAAACTCCGGCCTTGATGCAAATAAATCACCACAGCTAGAAAGAGCATACTAAAATAAGTAAATTATTGCAAAGTTTGGTTGCAAGATGTTGTAAAATACGGAAAACATAGCCCTGCAAAGTTTGCAAATTTTGTAAACTTTGGAAGGCTATATTTTCTACATATTTTACAACATTTTGCAACCAAACTTTGCAATTTTACTCATTTTAGTATGCCCTTCCCGGGAATATACTTTTTTTGCTAAGATAAAAAAATTAGTCTATTATGGGAATTGTCTATTGGTCCCCATTATCTATTTTTGTTCTAGAGGAGGGACCAAAATTTATTTTCTTGTTTTTCCTGTTGGGGGGGGGCTTTAAAAATTTTACCTGTCTTAAGAAGGGGGCAACGAAAAAATATTATAACTGTACAGTTTCTCCTCATTCTCTCCCTGTACAATAAATAATGAGTAGTCCCTTATCGATATTATTATTGTCTATTAGACCCCAGTTTTGCTCGATACATAAATCATTAAGTAGCTTATTACATTTTAATTATTACCTTCGTAGCCAGAGATGGGTCGTCATTTCGGGTGATGATTGATGAAAGAATCAAATCGATTTTGTTTTGCTGCTTCCTGATTCCTTTACCAAGGTTACAGATGGATTGCACCAGAATTTTTCACTGGAATATTTGGCTGAAAATGTCACTAGTTTGATTTTGTTGTTCTTTTTCGACTGCTAAATTAGCATCAATTTGATCCCCCGCGCAATCATTAGACTCATTATTGTTGTTCAATAGTCTATTGACTGTGATTAGGCTTGTTGTTCCTTCTTCAGCGCTTTAACCTTGTCTTGTAGGTCGGCCTGTATGTAAGTCATATTGGTCATTCTTTCCTCTAAAGCACTGTTTTCGACTTTGAGATCATGGTATTCTATTTCAAGCGCAGATAACTTTTATTTCCTTGTCTTGATTTGCGAGGCCGTTGAGTTGATTCGAATGATCAAGTAGCGTGTTGTTAATAGCTAGCGTATTTTTAAAAAAAATTCTGATAACATTAGCATTCAGCTCTCTAGTTGTTTGATTATTAGTTTGAAAGAGGCCTCAAGAGAATGTTCACAATAGTTTGTTGTTTCAACTCCTTCGGCGGCTTCATTAACACGGCTTCGTTAAATATGACAAAAGGCAAGCTTTCGTTTGCTAAGTCCTATGGTATAGATGCCATAGAGTTGAGCTTCTCTTCAAATTTTTTTGCGATATTCAGCATGCCACTAAGTGCATGTAATCGATTTAGTATAAGAGTACCATCTAATAGCTCTGACCTCGTTTTCGTACAACTTTGCATGTCCTCCCGGCGTCGACCATTTTCCGTGAGACAAATTTAACGCTTCGCTGACGAAACATTGTAATGCTTCAAAAGACGAAGTGCATACGAGCTTTCCTTTATGACTGATAGATAGATCATGTAGCACCTAATTCCTACAGCTTTCTCTGTATTCATTGTTGCAGGAACGTATTATCAACTCAATAAACCTTGTTAATTTTTCGTACATTTCTCCAAATTTTTAGCTCCAGCTAATCCCTGAGCCGGCGGCGCGAAGCGCCGTGCGAGGGTACTAATTCCCCCCGGCTATTTACACCCGGGGAAACGAAAGCATTAGCCAAGTCTAAAGTTCATCAAATATCGCGGGCGTGACCAACGAACCTTGAGTGGGTGGTCATCCTCACTGATCTCAAAAATATGGCGGACTGTCATGGATAGCGAACACTGATTGATCAAATTTAAAATTTGTTGTTGTATGACAAAATGACGACTTCAACTGACAGATACTTCATGAAAATAATTTGCTTTTTAGTTTTACACTACAGTATTTTGTACGTTTGCAAAAAACTTTGACAGCTTTCAAAGCAATTTGTTCTATAAAAAGTTTAATAAAACAATTACGGTATCAAATACCAATTGAAAAGATATGGAGCCAAATGAAGAGCGGCAAGGAAACGACAAGAAAGCCGAACGTCTAGCGAAAAGGAGGGCGCGAAGACGACAACGTTTGCTCGAGGAGACTGCTGAGGAAAGAGAAGCTCGCCTGGGAAAGCGTAGAGAAGCATGGAAAAAAAAGACTGCTGAAGCGAAAGGTAAGCAAAGGCTTGTCTTCACAACGTTATGTACCAATGATACTGTAGGTAGCTATATACAAGTTGAAGTATGATATTCGACCCTCTATATTCGACTATTTCTTCACAATTTTCCAATAAAGAGTTTGTCATGACATGCTCAAGTCAGTATAACCAGACTGTATTTTATTTATATCAGTTATCACAGCCACAGGCAGTTTTACGCTGTCAAATACCGTCGGTTGCAACTAAGGGTGAACAGTTGCAGATAAAACATTCTCTATTCTCATTAAAAAGCCTGTAAAAGTTTCCACTAGGTCTCTAGCCTAACACGTTCAGACCACACAAAGTTTTGTTACTTATTATTGCACACATGGGAAACAAAAATTAAGTGTTGTTGTTCTTGACAAACATTGAAGATTCTAATCACGCGAATGTTTTTATGCGCGACTGTTCATCGTTAGTTGCAAACGACGGTACAACATACTATGAACATTTTTCCGACTGTGACCGAATGTGCAACGATATATTTTTCATGAAAGTTGTTATCAATTCCTAAAATTTGTTTATAGTAAAACGGCCTGCTCAGCACTCACTACTCACGATGATTTCATTTAGAAATGCAGTTACCAGGAAAGGAACTGATTCTAAAATATGTAAATTTAAAAGCATTGGCTAACAGAATAAAGCGATGTGAAGACACGGTATAAACTTTTATAGTTGCTATTTGTTATAAAATCCTATAAATAAACCGATTCAACAATAATTTTGCCTCGAATTTGCATATTCTATGCTGCATCTTTATATTTTATTTTTATAGTATAAAAATAAAATTGTAATATTATGAAATAAAATACATTTCTGTTTATTGACCAGTACTTATTTAATGTCTTCTTCATCCAGTGGTCAGCATAAATTTCTACTTCTAGCAAGTAATTATTTGACAAGCAGTCTGGAATAAGCACAGGACTTTTAATGCATCAGCCAAATCCAAGTGTGCCCATCCCCCTTGCCCAGCCATTTTCCTGTAAAGCACATCCCGGGGGTTGGGCATTTCCACTCGAACCTTAGCCCCGGCGGGGCATGTGAAATTAATAATTTGGATTCTTGCACTTCACTTGTGGAATTAATATTAGAATGTTAGGGTTTGTAATCCAAGTGAGAATATATACATGTATATATTTTGTAATCCAAGTGAGAATATTTTGTAATCCTTGAGTGAGAATATACAAATGTATAGTACATCTATATATTTTGTGTATATATTTTGTAATCCAAATGAGAATAGTTTGTAATCCAAGTGAGAATATACAAATGTATATATTCTCACTTGGATTACAAACCCTGACATTCTAATATTAAGTCCACCAAGTGAAGTGCAAGAATCCAAATTATTGAAGTCCACCTTATCACAACCCGCACACCCGATTACCTAAATATACATGAACTTACAGTTAAAGCTCAACGGCTGGCCTCTGTAGCTCAGTTGGTTAGAGCGCTGCACCGGAATCGCAGGGCTGTAGGTTCAATTCCTACCAGAGGACCTTGTGCTGCATTTTTTGCAGTCGATCCTGGTTAGGTCTTAAAATGTATATTTTCTCACTTGGATTACAAACCCTAACATTCTAATATTAAGTCCACCAAGTGAAGTGCAAGAATCCAAATTATTGAAGTCCACCTTATCACAACCCGCACACCCGATTACCTAAATATACATGAACTTACGGTTAAAGCTCAACAGCTGGCCTCTGTAGCTCAGTTGGTTAGAGCGCTGCACCGGAATCGCAGGGCCGTAGGTTCAGTTCCTACCAGAGGACCTTGTGCTGCATTTTTCGCAGTCGTTCCTGGTTAGGTCTTAAAATGTATATATTCTCACTTGGATTACAAGCCCTAACATTCTAATGTTAATTCCAACAAGTGAAGTCCAAGAATCCAAATTATTGAAGTCCACCTTATCACAACCCGCACACCCGATTACCTAAATATACATGAACTTACGGTTAAAGCTCAACAGCTGGCCTCTGTAGCTCAGTTGGTTAGAGCACTGCACCGGAATCACAGGGCCGTAGGTTCAATTCCTACCAGAGGACTTTGTGCTGCATTTTTCGCAGTCGTTCCTGGTTAGGTCTTAAAATATATATATTCTCACTTGGATTACAAACCCTAACATTCTAATATTAATTCCAACAAGTGAAGTGCAAGAATCCAAATTATTGAAGTCCACCTTATCACAACCCGCACACCCAATTACCTAAATATACATGAACTTACGGTTAAAGCTCAACAGCTGGCCTCTGTAGCTCAGTTGGTTAGAGCGCTGCACCGGAATCGCAGGGCCGTAGGTTCAATTCCTACCAGAGGACCTTGTGCTGCATTTTTCGCAGTCGTTCCTGGTTAGGTCTTAAAATGTATATATTCTCACTTGGATTACAAACCCTAACATTCTAATATTAATTCCAACAAGTGAAGTTATACAAGAATCCAAATTATTGAAGTCCAGCTTATCACAACCCGCACACCCGATTAGTACCTAAATATACATGAACTTACGGTTAAAGCTCAACAGCTGGCCTCTGTAGCTCGGTTAGAGCGCTGCACCGGAATCGCAGGGCCGTAGGTTCAATTCCTACCAGAGGACCTTGTGCTGCATTTTTCGCAGTCGTTCCTGGTTAGGTCTTAAAATGTATATATTCTCACTTGGATTACAATCCCTAACATTCTAATAGTAAGTCGACCAAGTGAAGTGCAAGAATCCAAATTATTGAAGTCCACCTTATGATAACCCGCACACCCGATTACCTAAATATACATGAACTTTCGGTTAAAGCTCAACAGCTGGCCTCTGTAGCTCAGTTGGTTAGAGTGCTGCACCGGAATCGCAGGGCCGTAGGTTCAATTCCTACCAGAGGACCTTGTGCTGCATTTTTCGCAGTCGTTCCTGATTAGGTCTTAAAATGTATATATCCTCACTTGGATTACAAACCCTAACATTCTAACATTTGAAATTAAGGATTTGGAGGTTTTGGGATCACTGATAACTTGATAATAATGTAAAACAAAACACTTCTGTCTGCAACTTTTACAATCACTGATAACTTGATAATAATTTAAACCAGTCAAGTTGTAGTTTATTATAAATAGAGAATAATACATGGGTGCACGAAATACCAGATTTATTTCGAGTGTTGAACATGAGTGTGCAGCGAACAAGTGAGCGCAGCGAACGAGTGTGATCTCATGTTCAACACGAAAAATAAATCTGGTATTTCCAACCACCCATGTATTTTTCTGTTTATTATATAAAGGACAGTCTTAAATGAAAAGCGATAATTTTTACAGAAAAGCGATAATTGAAAAGGCGATAATTTTCACATGTGAGATTATCATGAATAATTTCACATGTGAGATTATCATTTTTATCAGTGCTCGAAATCTCTGTAAAACACTATACTTTATAAAATAAAAATTCATAAATTTGAACCATGCTAGAGCATGACAACAGCAAAATGCTCTATAGTATGATGCACAATATTTTGGGAGGTGAAATACACGAACAATAAATCAGAGAGTGTTTGCTTGGAACTCACTGGGGGGGGGGGGCAACACCCCTGATAATTGCTCATGAGGAATTTCAGGTAGATTTCCAGTGCACTTTTGGTAAATTTAAGTAGATTTGCAGAAGATTTTCAGGGGAATTCAGGTAATTCTCAGGACATGCGAAAGTGAATTTGGAAAACAACTGTATTTTCGGAAAAATTATTATATGTCCTGAAAATTTTTTGTACATCTAGAAACATTTTGGTATCCACCCCCCCCCCCTCCCCCCCTCTATCTAACCTCACACACACCCTCAGACGAAGTGCTCGCAACGGCACTGAGTATACATCTTTTGAAAACAGGCGAGGGATTATTGCATGCATGTATTTCTAGTACCTAACATATATACGTTGGGAAATTGATAATTTTGTAATTAAAAGTGATATTTTTAAGCGATTTTTCATTTCTAAGAATATTCTTAAGAAATTAACGTGTTGCCATGACAACTACTTTAGATACTTCATGTTCGGAAAATACAATGGTTTTGTCAGCAAGGCGAGGGTTTCTGCATGCATGTATTTTCTAGTAGCTTAAAGACCATGTCGTCCGTAATGTAAACAAACCTTTTGTTGGATTTTGAACTGCTATATTTGTAAAATAAGACATATAGCCTACTAACAGAATATCTAACACTTTTCTGATCCGAAATTGTAAATGAATATAAACTAGAGTCCGTTTCAATTCAAAAGAGTTCGAAAGATGCAAAATTTCGGCAATGTTTATATTTGTGGGTCCCCCTTTGTTATGAGAAGAACTGATGCGCAGAACGGACTTGACATGGTCTTTAAATAGCACCTGAAATATGACATGTATACTGTAGTCCAGATTGCTGCAAAACGCCTTACTACAGATGTAAATATAACACAGATACATGTACAGGCATACATTAATACAGATAGTGTCTCACACAAATAGTGTACAGCATTATACACAGGCATTCACCAAGTCAATGTTGAAAATAATAGTTCTGTGTAAGTTTTACCCCCCCCCCCCCTGGCCAGCCATTAAAAGCAGGAAACCCATCTCAGTAGTTTCACACAGTGTAATTATGCCAGGGGCGGCGGAACGGATTTCAGTTTGGGGGGCTAAATTTTTTTTCCGTGACCTCCCCCCCCCCTGTCGCCAAAAAAATTTCGGTCGGTGTACCATTTTAGGGGTACAAAAAATTTTCCGGACATATACAAGAAAAGGGATGAAAAAAATTTTTCCGGACCTATAACATACTCGATTTTTACACAAAATATCCCAAATTTTTCCCCTTATACCTAAATTTTCCAAAAATAACCTACATTTTTCCTTAATTATCAAAATGTTTCCAGAGGAAACAAAATTTTCTTGGGGGGGAGGGCTAAGCCCCCCACTTTTACTTCTGGGGGGGGCTTTAGCTCCCATAGCCACCCCCTGTTCCGCCGCCACTGAATTATGCTATGGTATGAACTACTTTGCCAAGGGTGGGTAGTAGCGACGTAGTTGTAGTTCGCTACTGTAGCGAACTACAATTTTCAAGTAGTTTTTGACTACTTTTTTGTAGTTGTAGCGAACTACATTTTGCCTAAAAGTAGCCAAATAGTTCACTACTTTTCAAACAGCGAATCACTATTCGCTACATTTTAAAATTGTTAGCAACCGTTCATAGAATAGAATGATGATAAGACACGGCTTGCTTTAAAGATTATTTTATAGAGTAAAGATTATTTTAGCGCAATGAAAAGTGGCACTCCTGAACACTGTAGTGCTTATAAAAATGTTGCTTTGACCCTTTTTGTTTACTGTTGCTACTCGTAAGTCGATTTGTTATAGGTTATATTACAGCCTGAGCTACAGTAGTGGATGCTCCAGATACCGTAAAACTAAAAAATATAGAGTAGCGAAATAGCGAAATAGTTCGCTACAATTTTTAAGCAGTAGCTGTAGTCAGTAGCGAACTACCTTTGTTCAAAAGTAGCAGTAGTTGTAGCTGACTACATATTTTTGAAGTAGCTGTAGTTATGGCGAACTACAAAAATTTTGTAGTCAACCCACCCTTGTACTTTGCATATATATATATATATGAACAGCCATGCAGGCTGATTTAGTTCCCAATCTGATAAAACTTTCTCCCTATAAACACAAACTGGGCTGACGTGGTGGCAGTTCTAAGAATGCTGCTGTGAGCAATGTACAAAGACGGTTAAAACACTGTAAACCATTTCACTTGTGCTTTTTATACAGCATATACAATCACAATAAATTTGTTATTCATATATTTTATAACACTTCATTGTCCTAAGTCTATACCTGCATACATGACCACCATCATCGATTCAAGCAAAAACATCCCATTTTAAACAACAATTATTATACAACAAAAACTGTCTATATCAGTGTAGGTAGCACCAATGTAGAAATGCTGTTCTGAGTGGTTATATTACTAACTTGAAAAATAAGAAGAAACTCGACGTTTCGATTCGAGTTTCTGTTTATTTTTTAAGGTAGTAATATAACCACTCTGCACAGCATTATTATACAACAACATGCGGACTAGAATCCATGTATTAACATCTACCTTTTCACAAATAGCGTTTGCACATGACGTCACAGCTGCCATGTTGGTGTTCCAATTCAAAATAATTTTAATTACTAGACTCTTTTGTCTGGAACACCAACATGGCCGCCATGGCTTTTGTTGAGTTGGTCCCTAGGGAATGAGTGCAAACGCTCTATACAAGCAGGTCTGAATCTTCAGACACTGCAAAACCACAGCCTCGAATCAAAGCGCCTGGGGATAAGCTAGCAAAATCAGCATATCTATTATTCATAATAAATGCAATTTGTGCGTCTGCTTCATGTGGTGCCATTATGTACTGAATATCTATTTCCCAGCAAAGCTGAAAGTTGGATAATAAAAAATTGTTATTTACTGCACACAACTACTTTCCAATTTACTCTCTATAATTTTTTATGCATTTGTACATAAAAAGGGATGTCATTGAAAAAATGGGAATTAGAATTTTGCAAAACAAATTGATCAAATGTCTGATTAGCAAGGCATTGACATGGATTATAAATTGTTGTGAAATTCCTGTGCACCAACAAAATGTAAACTCTGGGGAGGGGTATGGGCAAGGTGTGAGGATTTGAATTTAATTAATTTTTTGGGTAAATTCTAGTGAGTGGAAGGCATGCAAAGTTCTTGAAAACTAGATAGTATGTGGTTCAATTTAAACCACATCCTTTTCCTTACTCTCCATATATTGTTTGGCAAAGTGTTTTCTGCCAGCTGCAAAGGGCCATTGCGATGACTTTTTATTACTTAGGTGCTATTTATATGATCTTCAGATCTTGGATACTAGGGACATTCAACCCAACCTAGACAACTTTGCTGCACGTTTATACGAGAAATATTTATAGCCCTGTATCACCTCCTATATATATGTCACAAGTAAAACCAAAACGTAAATAAATACAATCCAAAACGTAACTGGTGTCAGTTGAGGTTTCCCCAGATAATTTAGCAGACAGTGTTTGCTGCTCATGCACTTTTCCATATTTGATATACATCTTTCATTTTATATTTTTATTGGCATAACACAGATCTCGAAATTCCAATCCTCTGACAAAAACAAATTATGACATCAAAATTATTACCAGAATACAAAACCTCACTTGTTGCAACAATATTTTAATATTCGCAAAATAAAAAGAACTTGCGTCCCTGTCTTGATTTTTACACTAAAAAACTATTTGTCTCCATGTTGCTCAAAGCCAACTCATAATGAAAAAGTAATTATACAATGTACTACTTTCTAAATAAATGTTTCGACTATTTTTTATAGAACCTGCATAAGTCTGGCCTATAGTTCATTCGTTTTGTTCGCAATTACTACAACGAAAATATTGTTAGAAAAGCCATGACAAAACAGTATAAGGACAAAATAAAAACCTGAAATAGATATACAGTTTCCTTCGTATTTTAAGAAGGGTTATTAGTGCGAATGTAGGTTTAAATCCGACGACATATTTTCAGGCTTTTCAGAACTTTCAATCCTTCGGCACGTAACACCTTGTTTTTCCAGTAAAATATTAAACAGTTAAATGTACAATTCACCAAGCCCATGGTTTTAGTCCACAATGATGCAAGGTTTGCATTATCCAAAGTATATGTTGTTTCCTCCGAGTGTATTGTAAGTCCAATGTAGACGCCCAATGGAGTGGACAACGCCACAACACAAGCGACTACAAGCAAGCAACTAGAAATATTTTTCAAAGAAAACGTCTTT